TTTAGATATGTCGAGAGCAATAGCCCTAGCCTCACCGCCTCCATCTAATGCACGATAAAATCTTTCAGTTACAGCAGTTAGCAAGTCGGCCGTAGAGCGAGAGGATCGAAAACCGTATTGATTGTCTGACAGCAGTTTATTTGACTCAAGATGAGATGTGAGGAATTTGTTGATCAAAGACTCAAAGACCTTGCTAATAACAGAAAGAAGACTGATCGGACGATAATTGGAGGGGTCAGAATTTTCTCCAGAGTTTTTGAATATTGGAACCACAGATGCCATTTTCCAACAAGCAGGAAAACAAGACTCAGTCAAACACTTGTTAAATAGTTTAGAGAGAATTCAAGAAAGTTCTGGAGATCAATTCTGCAAGACTGTGACAGGAATGATGTCTGGACCACAAGCTGTAGACGAGTTTAATTGAGATATGACTTTAGCAACAGAAGCCGGAGTGATTTGAATGTCTAACAATGGGTCAACCTGTTTGACTGGAATGGAAGGAAGAGAATGTCCATAAGATTCAAGAGTGGAATTAGAAGAAAATTTCTTTGCAAACAGTTCTGCCTTATCCCTGGGAGAGGTAACAAAATCAGTCCCATGAATGAGAGATGGAATGTTAGATCTACCCTTGTTAACAACGTTGTTGAAGATTTTCCAAAAGTCTTTAGAGCCTAACTTCTGCGATAAGATGCGAGATTTAGTGAACTGAGAATAATGGAGTTTAGCATCAGAAAGCACCTTTTTACATCAATTTCTCGCAATAATAAATAGCCGTTTGTTCTCAAGAGAGTTGTTCTTTTGAAAAAGATGAAAAAAATGGTTACGATTGGATATAGCAGCCGCACAAGAAGGAGAAAACCATGGAGTAGAATGAGGCTTGACTTGAAACCGACGAGAAGGAATAAAAGCTCCCATTCCAGCCTGAATCCAGGAGGTTACGTAGGAGGCGCATTTGTCAGCTGAGAGAGAAAAAACATCAGCCCAAGGACCATCACGAAGAAAATCACGAAAGGAATCCCAGTCAGCTTTAGGGTAGTAGTAGGTGGTGCGATGATAAGGTGAGCCCAAAAAAGAAGTACGAGAAGAAAGATTTACAAAGATCATTGCGTGGTCAGAACCACCTAAGGGAGAAAAGGGAGAAACTGAACATAAGCTAGGGTCAGAGACAAGACATAAGTCAAGGAGTGAAGGTAAATGATTAGGGTTGTCAGGAAAACGAGTCACAAAGTTAACTATCTGAATAAGAGATTGAGAAACGCAGAAGGTAAAGGCTTTAGTGCCAGCAGGATCAGTGGTGTTAGAAGCAGGATCAGTGGTGTTGACTATTTTAATCATTTAATCATTTAATCACTTAAGCCATATACATATCGGATATATGTTATACCTTATACATATCGGACATATGTTATGCAATATGTATATAAAACTTTATGTATATAAATTATATCAGGAACTTATTAGACTGCCCAACAATCATCACACTTCCCGACCCCAGCAACAGTGAACCGAATTGTGTCGCTATAACTGTACTGCACTCGCCAAATAGTGCTTACAAAACTAGCAACAAACCTCATAATTTCGTTTATCTTAAAAACAGATGTTGTAAAACATATCTTATAAAGTAATTTTAACACCCCACCGCTTAATTTTTGTTTAAAATCTAAAATCCACATAAGAATATAACCCCCTAAAACCCACTTAAAGCCACATAGGAATATAATCCCCTAAACGACAACTAATATCAACATGAGGGGTAAAAAAAATTTTTTTAAAAATTTTGAAATACTAACTGGTGCTAAAACTGATTCTTCACTAAAATTAATATTTCACTAAAGCAATGTAAGTTAAAAACGAGGAGTAAATCGAATAGGGATACTAAAAAGGTATTATTCGTATTATAGTAGAATGAATATGTACACCAAATAGGTATTAATTATTAAATAGAAACTTATGGGTAAAACGAATATTTTTACTAAAACAGTATTAATTATAAAATATACACTGAGGATAAGACCCAACAACCTATAACTACAGTAGAAAATACGAAATCACAAATTGAAAAAGCAAAATTATATCAAAGGCCTAGAGAGTCAAAGACGTCAAAGTAATAAGAAAGACAAAAAAGAAAAAGAAAATTCAGTAAAGGAAAGAGAATAGAACCCTAATAACAAATGAGACAGGACAAATAAATAGGAAAGATTACGATAAAAAAGGACATAAAAAAACTAAAACTAAAAAAGACAGAAAATCAAAGTATTTACGAACGACACGACAAATGAAACGCAAAACTTTAACATTTAGAACACTACAAACAAAAAGTACAATAATTTATACATACTTAAAGAACACTACAACAACACTTACCTAAAATTGAAAACAACACTCATCTAACTTAAACAACACTCACTTAGCTCTTACATATTCACTGAATAATACTCCCCTCTTAAACACCACCTCTCAATACTGAGCAACTGCCCAAGGATTATAATTTATCTAGCACTCCCTTGCACTTATATAATACATTTCTTCCTTCTCGTAAGATTGTTATGTTCTGATAGGTCCATATAAGTAATAGCTCCCACCGCAAAACAATAGCATACTCTTTTTGTAAGTATTTTTGCGCGTACTTTCCTTATTATATTGTATGTTTGTTGTCGCTGTTTGTTACAATACTACCGGTGCTGGGCCCAATATATAAAATAAAAATAGTAAGCTTATAATATTATGTTTTTATGAAACGAATAACTTCATCAAACCATCTAAAAATAAATTAAATGTAAAATGAATAATATTTTTACAAAGCATTTTTTAAAACTTTATTATGTAGAAGATAAATTGTGACGAACAGCTGCACCACCCCATACAAACGTAGTTTAAATATAAACAAGAGCTAAAGCAAATATTGCATTATACGTAAAAAACAACCGCAGACAAAACGAGGACCATCACTAGAATCGTACAACTAGATTCAATATAATACAAATATTTTCAGTATACCGTATTGATTTAAACTAAATAGTATACCGTATTAATTTAAACTAAATAATATATCGTATTAATTTAGACTAAGTAGTAAAAGAATAAGTACAATTAAACGTATATTTTAATTTGAATATAAATTGAATATAAAACTAGTTTATTGAATAGACCATATAAATTGACTTAAGTAGAAACTAAATTCGAAAAGAATTATTCTACCAATAATCGTATAAATTAAACTAAATTTGAAAAGAATTATTCTCTAATAATCACATATATTAAACTATGTTTATAACTACACCATATATCTGTATTTAAATACACGAAAATTAGTTTAAATTAGTTAAAACAAATATAAAATTAAGTACTGCATTGAAACATATTGACTAAATATAAATTAAATATAACGCGAACAGCTCTACCTAGCCATGTCAATATTACCTTTTTGAACAAAATTATGAACCACATCAAATCACAAGAAACAATATTATGAACCACATCAGATCACAGAATCCATATAATTTTTAGTTGTACTCAATGTCTAATGAATTAAGTAATTTAGTCATATTATGTTAATTGTGTATTACATTATGCTTACCACAACAACGATGGCAAATGTTAATAATTGTTTTGGTTTTTTATATGTTTATCTTATAAATTCATATAGGTTTGATTAGAGGTTTCATATTTTTTATCTGAAACTGGAAGTGTTCAAGTTACATTAAAATAAACGAACCTATTGTAGGTATCACTTTTTGAGAATTTAAACTAAATTTAAAACGAATATTTCCATCATAAGGATGCACATCTTTATAAAACGAACTCAATAAAACAATCAATTGAACGAAACGGTATGAATTACAATCGAACCTATACTAAGTTAAATAAAACTGGAATTAAGTAAAAACAATAAAAAGAGTTGGAAATAAGTAAAAATAATCAATCACTTCTTCTCTAAGGCAGATACGGCTAAATATTTTCCATGAGTGATTATACTTAATTCTTCAAGTTATAAAACTTATATTTTAAAAGAACTTAATAACATTGGAAGTAAACAACACTGAGAATTAGATTATTTACGAACACACAAATTCATACAGGAAAATACATTAAATGACACATAGGGCTTTCATGCTTAGGACAATACAAACACAAAACACAAAAACTTGAGAAGCGCTGAATCAACACTTACTTAAATCTAACTTTACCGACATTCACCCCAGACAGCAAGCTTACATTGGACCAACGTTGGGCCAATGCATGATGATGCATTGGCCCAACGTTGAAAGTCGATGTTGGCTCAATGCAGGTTTGATCATTGGTTAGGTATTGGCCCAATGTTGTATACAACGTTTACCCAACATTGGCCCAACGTTGTATATAACGTTAGGCCAATGTTGTATACAACATTGGCCCAACGTTGTATACAACATTGACCCAACGTTGTATACAAAATTGGCCTAACGTTGTATACAATATTGGCCCAATATCGTATGTTATATATCGGCCTAACGTTTTATGCAACATTAGATCGTTGTTACAAATAAGATGATTTGCATCGCTACATTGAAAATTTATAGAGAAAAAAAAGAATGTATGATACAAGTATAAAAATTTATTTATTTCACATAATTTATCTGTTAAATATACATATTGCAAACACTAAACTTAAATCAAACACTGACACATTGAGTTTTAAATAAAAAAATTCACAATAAAATTTATAGATTAGTTTCAATATTGGCTGAGCTACTTGTTATTGAATCGTGTTTAGCTTATGATATTTGGTGCCCACGATTATTATTTTTTCTTCCTCTATCTCTATCACATGTCTGCATAAGCCATGCTTATTTGACTTCACAGTTTCTGCAAAAAAGAAATAGTTGTTTGTTTAATTATGCACCAAAGAAATATAACAAATTGAAAGTAATTATTTAATGCAAAATTGAAACTGAAAAAATAAACTTTTCTAAACCACTTACCAATAGCAGCATACGCAATCATTATTTTTTCTATTCCAATTGTCCTCTCCCTGCATAGTTTTATTTTACAACTAGGCCATTTTAAAAAACTATTCTTAGCAAATAAAATATACAATCTCCTTTGTCTTTAACTCCGATTTGTGCCAAATAATTGACATGCAAAAATACACAACCTGGCAATATAAAACGTAATTTACGAAAAATCTTCAAAGAGTATTTTATTTAAAGTATATAAAATGTACTAAGATATCATACAAAATGCATAAAAAAATTATAAAAAAATATTTACCATTTACTTACTTATTTTCTTTTCTTCCTGAGTACTTGAATTCTTCACTGCTTTTAATAGCAATGACACTCTTTCAGGCAATACAATAATAAGTATACCTTTGTTACTCAAATTTTTATAACTGAATTTGATGTGTTTTGTAGTTTACCAAGTTGTACTTCAATGACGACTAAGAATGAACACTAAGAAAAACATAAGTTTCAGAAAAATAAGTGGGTAGCACCAAAAAAAACATAATAGCTTAATTGAGCGTTGGATTTTGAAAATGTGACAAGTCACAAAATTAAAATTTTACAAGGGAGTGAAAAATATTTCTCCTGTAAAAAATTTTATTTTTATTTGATCTAAAAATTGTTTCTTTTCTCTAAAAAAATCTTTATTTTATCTAAAACTATCTTTATTTTATTTAAAACAATCTTTATTTTATCTAAAAAAATCTTTATTTTATCTAAAAAAATCTTTATTTTATCTAAAAAAAAATTTATTTTATCTTAATATTTTTTTATTTTAAGTGAGGTTATTTGAAAAGAATATTTTTTTGAAAATATTCTTTTCAAATAACCACACTTTTAAAAAAAGTGTGACTCATCACGTTTTCAAAATACAGCGTTCATTTGTGAAACGAGTAACATCTTAACTAGAATTACTGATTTTTCCATGACTATCTAAAGAAAAAAATAATTTCCTGACTTTTCCAGGTTTTCCACGACTTTAGCCAATATTAACAAATTTTCCAGATTTTCAAGGTACAGTACGGACCTTGTCCAATGTTTGTAAATAATTTTTTTTACATATTTTAGTTCTGAATTTTAATAACACTATTTTTAAAAATAATATCATCTATAAAAATATTGTTTTACCTTCGTCTATTAGATAAATTTAAATAAACGTTTATATAATGAATAATAATGAATCACCAGCAACTGTTAAAACTTTAAACTGATATGAATTCTGATATAAATACAAATACTGTTGTTTTTTTCAACATTTGATTTCAAATGGTTTTTAAAGTTGGTGACACCAACTTTGAAATCCAACAAAAAAAATTTGTTACGTTCATAAACTTAAATGTTCTCAAAACAACTAAAAAACCTGGCCAGTTTTTCACAAATAAATATATTTTCTGTGGTCAGTATTCAAGAGCGATCGCTCCCGCTTCCTGACCAAGCCTGTGGTGTAAGCTTTGATATTTTGATTATTACATACTAAAATGTTAATTAACAATTTGACTTTTTGACCGTAATATATGAAAAAGTTTTTAAAATTGTAAAAGTTAAAGCTATGAATAAAGATTTTCAATCATTAGTTACCATTTAATAAATTTGTTCATTCAACTTCTCAGAGCAAACATTAAACTTCTGTAAAGATTTTGGAGTTACAGGTAAATCCCAAAGTTTAATAATATTTTTTGTTTTATTATAAGAAAATGAGGATAAATCATGTACACCAAGATATACACAATTTTTTGTCTCTTCAATCTTTATTTTGACTGGTCATTTTCGCTGTCTTCCTTTTTTGTCTCCAGAGCAGAAATTTAGCCTTGTGCTAAATTCAATCTTGTATTGCTTTGAAAATCTATAAATCAAATCATTAATAATTAATTTATAACTAAAGAAACATATTTAAAATGTAAAATATCAGCTTCTAACAACTTCAATGTCACATATATACTATTGATACCTTTAACAATATATCTTATAATAGCTATATAATCTTAACTATTATAAATAATGAAAAAAAAAAAAAAAAAAATTATACTGTATGACATTTTAAATGTTTGATTTATTTAATAAAGAAGGCATTTAAAATATCGTTTTTAGTAAATAAATCGAACATTTGAAATGTTTCATTTGTTTATAAATAATAATAATAAATTTTATAAAAGAATAATAAAATTTAATAAATTAAATTTAATAAAGATTATTAAATAAAACAAACATTTAAAATGCCAATACAGCAATAAAAGTAAAAAAATAACTTTAAGATCTTACACAAAAATAATTTGATTATTGCCTTTATTATTACATTAATAATTTAGATTGTAGTAAAAAATGTTTTAAGCATATTATTTAAATGTTAACAAATATTTCATTATTTAAAAAAACAAAACATTAAGTCACGAGAATCTCTTGAAGTTTATTTCTTATTAGAAGATAAAATTTACTTCTTATTAGAAGATTATTAATCTTATTAGTACCTCTTATTAGAAGATTCAAATAAATTTATTCTAAGGAATTAGCGAGCAGCAAAAATATGTCTACAAGGTAAGTGCATTGACTTTCTAAACATACATGAACAAAAATTCACTGTATGCAGTCAGTCAAAAAAGTCACTGTATGGAGACCTTCAGTGGTGTTTACCATAAAGTATTCATTTTCTCTTTGTAACAAATTAATGTCTCCACGCAAGCTTATAGTCTTGTGATCTCTTTCATTACGCATTGATGCTAGAACAACATAAAATTTATCCAGGAAATTTTCTAAGGAACTGTTGCAGTCAATCACTTCTTTTAATTTGCCATTGAAATTTTCAAGGCGGTTGTTGGTGCTGTTCATGAAATTTCCACTAGCAAAATTTAAACCAAGAACCCAATCAACACGAATATTATGCTAGTTCTTGTTAAAATAATCTACAACAGTAGTTGGAGAAGATGAAATAAATAATCTATATAGTTCATCATAAACTTCTTCTGATGTAGCGTAAGCCAATTTCTGAATAATTTCTAAAGATGAAGTCCGTTCACCGCATGTTATCCCAAGTTTGGAAGTTGTAATCTCACGATTGAAAGTTCTGTTAACAAAAGTGTGATGTTGGCTTAACAAAACAATTAAAAAAGAAAGTTTATAAGATTTTATATAATCCATATTTACAGATAAAAATTAACAATCATGTTAAAAATCAGAAGGATTCATTATCCATTAATCTAGCGCTAGTCACTTCTGGGTAATTAATATTACCTCATGGTGTGAAATAAGCAGAGTAATAGAGAAACCAAAGGAAAAGCACTACGTAAAATCTCTCTTTCTGTTAAGTCTTTGTCTGTCATGAAGACATTTGTCTTTGGCCAAGCAATATTGAAACTCTTAAATCTTTCAACAAACCAACTTTAAAATAAATAATAAAAAAATTATAAAGAGAGAAATACATACACACACACATATATATATATAAATACACACACACACATATATATATATAAATACACACACACACACACACACACACACACACACACACACAGATATATATATATATATATATATATATATATATATATATATCTATATATATATCTCTATATATATATATATATATATATATCTATACACACAGATATATATATATATATATATATATATATATATATATATATATATATATATATATATATATATATATATATATATATATATATATATATATATATATATATACAGTGCTCAAAGTGGAAAAAAAACATAATAAGATAAGATGATCTTTTAACAACTTCAGATAAGGTGGTCTTTTAACAACTTCAAAATATTATTCTGACTAGTCATTATTGTGGCGGTTTATAAATGTAACATATACATTTTTCAAATGCCATTTAAGAATATAAAATTTCAGTATGGTTACTTTAATATTTGTTTTACCTGTTATTATGCATATACATCAAAGCCAGTCACAGCAAAGAAACTATACCTAAAAGACGCAGCATCTTCATGCGTGAGCAAACCTACAGCAGCTATTTCACTTTCACCTATACAAAAAAGTGAATGTAAATTAGGCATAACTAAATATGATGTTCACGGTTATTAACTAATTATATACATCAAAACTTTGATTAATAAATAATTGAAACCAACCAGCTCCATCTTCGCATAGCAGAATATAAACAGGCATTCGAATTTCTAACAATTTATATGTCGCATCCATGCATAAAAACTCAGGATATGCGTTGTAGGCACTGTGCATAAAAAAATCTTGAAAAAAAAGCCCTTGCAAATTATTGTCTGCATCTGTCAAAACTTCAACATTAGCATCTAAAATACATTTTATATTATATACTGATAAGAAAATAAACTATAACTATACAAATAAATTAAATATATATGTATGAATACATAGAGGAATGAAAAATATTTTAACAATTTTCTTTTTTTTAGATCATCACTGCTTTTCTGGTTTTTTAGAATCACACTACACATCCATCTAATCATCATACTTTCTGTCTTTTCTAAACGCTGAACATCATCAACCTTTATTGCCCATGTTTCACTGCCATACATCATAACACTAGAAAGTCACTAGCCATTCTTCAATACCTAAACACCTTAAAACCCACCACACCACCTCAATTAGAACTGTCAAAAGCTAGGTCAATAAATGCCATCCACAGATCTTTTTTCTTTTCCAAAAATCTTTTTTAAACTGGCCTTACAATAAAAACGACATCTGTCATTCCTTTTCCTGGCCTCAAACCAACTGAATGTTATTGATCAATACACTGCTCATTATTTTGCTTTCAATAATTTTTTCTAAAATCATCATAACCTGGTCTAGCAATTTAATTCCTCTATAAGAACCACATTCTAATGCGTCTCCGCCTCCCTTATGAATCTTTACCATCCAATGCTTCTTTTAATTATTTGGGATTTTACCTTCATATACAATCGAATTGTAAAGATCAGACACCCAATGAAAACCTACATCACCTAAAGCTTTCAAAACCTCTGCCAATACACCAGAAGGACCAGCAGCCTTACCTAATTGAGCCTTCCTAATAGGTAATTCACTTCACCCATGTTATCTGCTCTGCTGGCTCACTAACCTTATTCACTGCAGACACAGCAGAGCCTTTTTCTATCCTAACTCTTTATTTTGCAATTTTTTAAAATGACTTATCTACCTTGCTTTTACCTCAACTTCATTTATAAACTTTTTACCACCTCTTTGATACAGCCTTCTCCAATAACATCTCTATTTAAGCATCTCACATATTAGCATCTTACTTAATTATTTTTCCTCATCTAATTTAGCTTTGTATATGGCTTTTTTTAACTTGCGCTCTGCCACAGAATACAGTAGCCTATCATCTTCATTTCCAGACTTTTTCCGGATGTTATGAAATATCCTCTTTTCTTATCTAACTTTAGCCACATTCCACTACTTTTTCTTTCCACATACTTCATCAGATACATCAACAAGGCATTTCTTCATGTTTTTCCACATTCTTTCCACATTTCTTTTTGATCTGATTTGCTTTCTTGCTTTAATTTTCTTTTCAAAATGTTTACACATTTCATCTTCTTTAAATTTCCAAATTCTGCAATCACAAAGATCTCAATCACAAAGATTTCTTCAAATTTTCCACCAACATGTCACAAATAATTTATTTGTGCTCTGGAATACAAGCCTCACTTGGTATTATTCTTATGTTGCTTGCCTATTTTCCATGTTGCTTTCTGATTAAGATTTATTCCACTTGTGTCTCCAAACCATTAGACTCATAAATTATTTTATGTTAATCCTTTTTCGCAAACCATATATTACAGACTGTCAATCCGTAGTATCAGAAAATTCCAACAACATCTCTCCTTCAGCATTTCTGATGCTAAATCCTTTTCTACCATGCCTCAAAACCATCTGAAGCCACACCAACATACCAATTTAAGTCTCAACATATTATCGACTTCTCATTCTCACCAATATTCTTCAAAATATTACCTAGAACATTACCTAAAACAAACATCCTTTTCTTCACTGTACTACCTGTTTGAGACTCGGAAAAGTGTCAGACTGGTAAACTTAAAAAAAAGAACTTTTTTTTTAATTTTACAGGTATATTGCCCTTAAAAAAGACAACAAATTTTAAATGGCTTAAAATGTTTGGGAAAGCCTATTTTTTTTTAATTCATTTTTTTTAATTTTGTTTAAAGCCATATAATTCCTTCCTAGCGGTTGAAAACAGTAATTAAATTTTTAATATTTTTATTTGTATTTGAAATTTGTCTATTTTAGGCAAGGTGCCCTTAAAAAGACAATCTTATTATTGTTGATGTCTCCTTAAAGATTAACTCAATTGCATAGTATTATCTGCCTAGTATAGGTATTTTGCATAGTATTATCTGCCTAGTATAGGTATCTTATAATAGAAAGAAATCTGGAATTATTTAATGATTTTTTGAAATAATTAGAAAAGTCATGAAATAACCCAAATAACGCTTTTTGTAATGAGCATTAAGAAACTCTTTTATTAAAACTATTTTATTAATATTGTATTTTTTTCTTTCCTTTATATCTTAAAGTTTATTTTGAAAGATAGTAGTAACTCATATAGCAGTTCAATTTCTTTTAACACCTACTTCTTGTTTTGCAACTTCAAAAAAAGACTTAAAAATAAGAAAATTGCTGTTTTGTGTTTTTACATTACTTTATTTGTACTGTTTTAATAGTTTAAAATGTTTTAATTACAAAAAAAATAATAAAATGAAACAACAATATAGCTTAAGTGTAGCTGCAAATGCAAACTCTGTATTTAAAAAGTCAAGGAATAAATCTGAAGCAACTGTAAAGCAATTTATCCGAGATAAAAGAAACAAACAGTTAAACAAAGCTGTGTAATGGTGCGAAATTAGTGGAAAACAAGGATATTCTGCAGGTCAGTTTACGTTAATATAAAACAAAATTGTGATTGATAAGCAATTAGATAACCTAGTTTTACAGGAAATGAAATAAAACACGTAACGATACTAACCACTGAAGAAGAAGATATTAAGGTTGAGTATGTGCAATGTAAAAATTGAAATAACTAAGGTATGAACAGAAAAAAACTAAAAAACCTTATTATGGATGTGTAAAAAATTCAAGATCATGCTAACAAAAAGATAAAAAAAAGAAGAAAGCTTATTGCTTTGGAAAACTTGTTTGAAGAAAAGGTTAAAATTTTCTATTGTATTATTCAATATAGAAACTGTAAGTTTCTGTGTCCATGTCAGTTTAAAACAAATTTACAGAAAAAAGAACATCAAAAATAAATACAGTGCTCTATCGTGTAAATTGTTTATATAATACTGTATTATAATACCGATTGTACCCGTGAAATGGCCTACTCTAATTTAGGCAATAACAAATATGTCAATAACAAAAGTAAAAAAATGACAAATTTAAAAATAGATATATTTTAAGACAAGAAATGTAATTTATATTTAGAAATTTCAGACAAATTTTCACTGCTTAATCTATTACTTAGATGAAAAATGCACCTGCCATGTAATATTGAGTACCTAAGGAAATACTAGTCAAATGGCTCCACAAGATACTGTTCGAAGTATTTCAAACTTATTGATTTCGATAACAGAGAACATTTTATAAATTATTTGATAAGCACGTTATTGCAAAAGACATACTTTGCCCTGTTTTACTAAGAGATTGTCACAGTTCTTGTTTTCATTATACCATACTTCAATTTCCTAGAGAGAAAAAAATACATTTGTATATATCACCTCCAGACACTACTGGGTAACGCAACTTCTTGATCAAATCAACAAAAGGCTTCATAAAAATAATGAAAATACAAAAGAAAATTTGTTTAGTCAAAATAAAAATAATTAATAGAGGCTTTTATGCTATCTTTTGCAAGTATGTGGGAGAAGTGGGCCACATCAGAGTCGATACGAAAAGCTGGAAAAGATCATTATTAATAGTGAAAGCCTCAACATTGCATTTATGTAAATAGATAAATTCCAAAAAGGTACAATGGTATTAGAGCAAGTTTTAAAAAATAAAATATGAAAAAAAAACCTTAACAACATACAACAGTGTGTTTATCAGATGCTTTATTTAATGTTACTGATATTTCATCAGTTGTAAATGGCAAAATAAGTTTCGTTATACCTATAAAACAAAAAAATAGCCAAATATATTGAAAAAAAAAAGCTTCTAACTGGAAAAAAAAATGTTTGTCACTACAAACAATGATTAGGAGCTTACTTGAAAAAACCATTAATCTTAAGTCAGCAAAAAGTAATGATATGCAAAAAGCAACTACAAGAATAACCCAAGTCTATGGCTCCATGGAAGATCAGATGTGCTAAAGCTTGTAGAGTCTATTAACAACTTAAAGGAGAAAAAACCACAGGAGAAAGAACACAAAGAAAGAAAAAATTTAAGAAGAGAAGGAGAGAAGAAACAAAGTTGTTGTATAGATGCAAAGAAAAATGCGTTTCAGACAGAAGCATTTGCAAAGCTGAAAACTTAAACAATGCCCTATGTGTCAAATTGTTATGAAATTGGTACAATTTTACCTAAATTTACAACAAAAAAAATAACTGCCGTATTTTAGAAGTTATTTAGAAAGTCTGACGATGAAAAAGACAGTATTAAAGATTCTCAATAAATTCCGTTAGGCTGATAGAATAGCAGTGTTAAAAACAGAGTTTTGCTTGTTATTTTGAAGTTTTTATTTTTGAAAAAAAAAAAAAGTTTTGTCTTTTTAAGGGCACCGTTTCAAATAAACGGTGCCCTTAAAAAGACAAAAATACTACCATTTTCAAAGCACTTTTTAAGCAGTCAAAACTGTTTGTATCAAACTATTAAAAAGTAATTACTTTTCTGATAAGGACCCTTTTCGTAGCTTTCCTAATAAGGACCCTATATATAAAAAATTATCTTCTGAGACAACATAAGAACAACTTTTGAACTTCTGCACTATAACCTAACTTTTTTCTAAAGGTTATATGGGTGGTTCATATTTTGGAATATCCAAATTTTTTTTAGTTTTGATTAACAATAGTTATCAGCAATATAATTATTTTGTCTTTTTATGGGCACTATCTTTTTAAGGGCACTATACATGTACATGAAACTTGTCAAACATGAATTTTTTCAAAATTCATTAAAAAGTAATTACAATAAATAAATGATGAACTTATATTTAAGAAATATTTATTTTTAACATTTAAAAAAAAAAAGAGTAATCGAAATTGAATTATCAAAAGTTAAATTAATACTTTACTTTACAGAAGACAAAATAACTTGATAACTTTCTTACTATATTTTTCCTTTAAAGTTGTAATAAAGGCTGTTAAATCATTTTGGGTGTCACTATTGTGTGCAGAAGCAGCAATATTTGATAAATCTCGGAGCGTTAGCATTTTTCCAGTCTCATTTAACAATTCTCGTTGAAGCAACTTTTTGTTAGCTTTCAAACCTAACAAGGTTTCTGCTTTAGCAATAGCATAATCAGGTAGTCTTCTTTGATTAGGTAAGTGTTTATAGAAAATCTATTATGAAAAAACATTAATTATTTTTTATAATACATTAAAAATAGGTTGTGATGTGTAGAAGTTGGTATTTGCAGGAGATAATATTTCATAAAAAATTAATGATACAGTGAACTCTTGATATCTCAAACCTCCAAGGGACCAAGAAAAATAGTTTGAGTTAGTGAATGTTTGAGTTATGGAGACATTCTTTAACACAAACCTTTGTCAATAGGTAAAAAAATTTAAGTTATCAAAAGTTTTTATCTCAAAGGAAAAATAATACATTATAAATTATAAAATTTTCTGTCATTCTGTCTTAGTTTTGAATAAACGCCTTTTTAATTTTTATATAATATTTTGTTAGATAAGTATTCTCCTTAAGTTAACTATCCTTTGCTGCTAGTTATCTATTACATCTATAACTTTGCATACTTCTGCTTATTTTAATATAAAATCAATGCTGCTTAAATTTATATTTAATACTTCTGGGTACTTGTCTTTTTTATTTTTTTTTTCTAACTAATATTATTCTCCTTTTATTTACTAACACTCGCTATCATTATTATTTTGTTATTATGTTTTTAGGTGATAGTAATATTATCTGAAGACATATTTAACTACTTAACTACCATTAGACTTATTATTGATAAATATTTTAGCTTCACTATTTTGATTTGATATTTTTTTTTTTTTTTCAATTATTAGTATTATTTATACTATATTAAACATCATATTATTATTACTACTATTATCTTCATAGTTGTTTAAATTGATGTGTTGTATTTGTTAAATATTTTTAGCTATGTTTATGTTAATATTGTATTTGTTAGGAATTTACTTTATATTAGTACTTGTACTATTGTAAATATTCTTGAAATGTTAACAACTAATTTCAGAATATATTTGATTTGATTTATGCACAAAAACAGTTTATGACATATTTTGCAATTTGTAAAGGCTATTTAAACTTTAATAGTATATTCTAACAAGTTATTTACAGTTTTTATGATTGTTAGTGAGGGTTCGAGGGGAACTCAAAAGTAATACGAGTTACTGAAAGTTCAAATTATCCAGGGGTCAAGATATCGGGAATTCACAGAATTTACTTATAAATTAGCAAAAATTCAAAAACATCATACTTAGTTACAAAAAACCGAAGAATATATAAGCTTGTATAGCCACATCTATAATTCAATCACACCCAGAAATCAATTCAAATCAAAAAGTTCATAAAAACTCCCAATAACAAATTTTTAATTTGATCTTTTAATAAGATTTTTTAATTTGAATATGAATTAAAAAGAATTAATTTGAAAACAATTTAGAGCTCTTCATAGCAGCAGATTCACACTAAATCAAATACATTTTGAAGTAAGTTGTTTAAAATTTCAAGATTATGGTTTTCAAATAATACATATATATATATATATATATATATATATATATAAATATATACATACATATATATATATATATATATATATATATATATATATATATATATATATATATATATATATATATATATATATATATATATATATATATATATATATATATATATATATATATATATATATATATATAATTACCAAATTATATTAATAACCCGTAGCAGATTTGACAATTATAATTTTATCATAATATAAAATAATGAAATCCCCAAAAAAAAATAAAAAAAGTGTTATGGATTTCATTACTTTTTCCTGTCTATATAAAAAATTGTAAAATAATGCTATTTATAAATCATATTTTAAGTATGAATAATAATAGTTTACTTCAGATACTTCGTGATTATGTGTATTGTTCAATTCTTGCCAGATTAATGCTTGTCCATCGTCCGATGCCTTAAAGTATAGGTAGAAAGGGCAATCTTTTTTATATGTCCTACAAAAAAAATGTATTAATTAGATGCTTATTTCATAAATTAAATAAGCAAAAAAAAAAGTATTTGTATTACTAATAAAAAGTTCTATGTAACAAATTATATTTGTATTTCTAAATAAAAAAAATTATTTATTATAAAATAAACCCAGTAAACTGCCAATAACTCAAACCTTCAGGGAAGCCAAGAAATTAGTTCAAGTATGCAAATGTTCTAGTTATCAGGATAATTCGCAATTCAAACTTTTACAGATAAGTAAAAATAATTCAAGTTATCAAAGGTTTTTTTTTAATTCAATCTGAAATGGTAAATAAAATAAAATCTTCATTGCAACTTTTCTAAATTGTAAAAATTGACATGTTAACAAACTGTTTGCTTTAAAAGTTTCAGTAATACAACAGCAAAAAGTTTCAATGCTTTTATAACAGCAACTTAGAATTGCAACATTGACCAGATCGGAAAGAGCAATAGATATGAAGCATTTATAGCAGTTAATCAAAAGCAATCTAAAATTAACTATGCACTACTTAGCAAGCAAACTTGGATGCATTCATAGATAAAATAAAAATAATATGTGAATAAAAAATAAAAATAAAATAGAAATAAAGAAATATAAATGAAAACAAAATAGATCATAAAATATAAAATCTCCTTATGTCTCAGTTTTGAAGTAATATCTTTTTTGATTGATATTAAGGAAATCAAAAAAGTTTAATGTAATAAAAGAATATTTATTTTTAATAAGATTTTGTTAACATTTTTCTTCTAAAGTTCAACTTATTGGGATATTATCAGCCACAGGGACAAAAAAAAAAGGTTTGACTTGGGGAATTTTTAAGTTATCAAGGGGTTTGAGTTATCAACATAGTGATTTTTATGAGAAAGTGTGAGTGAGAGTTCAACAGGAATGTTAAAACACTTTGAGTTACTAAAAGTTCAATATATCTGCAGTGTGATGTTTTTATTAATAACCTACATAAACAAGTTTTTTTTTCTTTTTTGTTTATTTTTGAACTGTTACAGTACAAATTATATTATTTATAATAAAATATTATTTAATCTATAACTTTGTGTATATTATTTTAATGTTTTACAATTGTTTTTAATTAAGTATACTTTATAATTCCTTGAGTATCTCACTAAACTGTTATAATATCTAGCATTATATTTATTTTGGATTTATTTGAACACTATTTTTCTATTTTTCAGGTTTAACTCTTAATATTGTATTTATTAATTCTTAAGATTGATTTATTTTTAATATTTTGAAAAACAATTCTTATATGCATCAGATTGCACAAGAAGCTAAAGAATACATAGAGAATGCCATTACCCTGAAAACTTTTCTAAAGATATGAACATTAGCTAAGGTTATGGGAACTAAGTTCTTTCTATTTGGGAAAAAATGAAATTTTTACCAGTGGAGGAGATAGAAATCGCAATTTTTGTAGCAATATCTTACACGCCTTAGTTTCTTAAGTCATCTATAATAATCCATACTCAATCTAAAAAAAGACTTAAAACAAACATTTTAATTTAAAGTAAAAAAAAAAAACATAAAGAAAAAAAGAAACCATAAGAAAGAAAGAAAATGTTTAAACCTGGGGAAGTCTAACCACTTATGGTGATTAATATTATTATTTTTATTACTGCTTTTCTGTAACTTTCAGATTTTCATTTTTACTGTCTTACTTGAATTATACACTAACACTAGAATTAGTTTTGTTTATAATATTATTTTTATTACTGTTGTTGTTATTGTTATCATTGTTGTTTATTAGAATTTTAAAAGCTATGTTTTTGGATATATTGCTTACATTACCATTATTATTATCCTTATTATATATTATTAGCATTATAAGGGGTTTAATTCATATAAGTTTATAACTACTTGTAACTTGAAGGCAAGATCTTTATTCAGAAATATAAATTATTCATTGATTGAAATAGAATAAACAGTTATAACAGTTACTGTCTGAGAATAATAATACAATCTTTTAAAAAAGTAAAATAAAGTACTAACGAAGTTTGACGTTTTCCAAAACCTTTATATTTAAATTTTTGTCCACCATGAATGCAGCAGTACTTTATAAAAGAGTAGTTAATTTGTGGAGCCATAATACTAGCTCTCTTTGGAATGCTTTTTCTAGCAGCATTAGTTGTCTTGGCGTCTCTCATCCATAATTGCACAAAATTAGCATCTTCATATTTTTTAATATTTGCTTTTAGATCTTCAAAAGACAAGAAAACATCTTTGCCAGTAAAACCAGTTGACATTTTACAATATAAAATTATATTTTCAATTCAAATCTTTATATATACTAATCCGAAACTACATTGGCCGAATATTGGCTACGGTATAAATGTAAAAACAGATTTTTATGGCAAATATTAAGCCTAAACTACATTGGCCAAATATTGGCCCAACGTAGTTCGATAATTGAAAAAAACCGATATGTAGAATTGCAATATTACGCCGAAAAAAAAACATTGGCCCAATATAGTACGATATTTGCAAAAAACAGATTTGCAGAATTGAAAATAATACGCCGAAAAAAACATTGGCTAAATGTTGGCCCAACGGAATAAACTTGCCAATGTTAAAACTTACGTTGGGCCAATGTAAGCTTGCTGCCTGGGACGTAACTCAAACGCAATTACTAAATAATACTCCCCTTCTAAACACCACCTCTCAATACTGGACATCTGTTCAAATTTCATAATTTATCTAGCACTTCCTTGCATTTATATAAAATATTTCTTACTTCTCTTAAGACTATTACGGCCTGATGGCCGTAATAGTCTTAAGAGAATCTTTTTGAATCTTTTAATACTAGAGAATAAGAGAGAATCTTTAAGAGAATCTTTTAATTGAATCTTTTAATACTAGAGTATTGAATCTTTGTAAGGATCAATACAATGTCCACTTCCTAACGAGAATCTGGTATTATACAACATAATTTTAAATTTTATTTTAACGCTGATGTATTTTTATTTTCTTTCTTTAAACATTTATGCGCGCGTTTCCCCTTTATACTAGATGTTTGTTTTTGTTGTTTGTTGTAATATTTCTGCTTTATAGTTGTACTTTTTGTCTAAAGAATTGAGTAATTGTGTTATATTAGGTTAATTGTGTATCACATCGTGCTTACCACAACGATGGCAATTGTTAATAATTGTTTTGATTTTTGTAATATGTTTTTGAATACTTATCTGATAATTTCATATAGGTTTACTTAGATGTTCTTTTTTTTTTATCTGTGGCTAAAGGTATTCGGGTTGCATGTTAATAAACTGAATTATTGTGTTTGTCGATCTTTGAGTATATAAACTAAATTTAAAACAAATATTTTTATTATAAGGTTGCATGTTTTTATAAAATAAAACAAGTTCATTAAAACGATCAACTCCACTAAGCGGTATGATTTATAATTGAGCCTATACTGAGTTAAACAAAACTGGAAATAAGTAAAAACAATAACTTTTTCTAATATAATCAATCACTTCCTTTGTCTAAGGCATTTACGTCTAAATATGTTCCACTAGTGACTATACTCACTTATTATAGTTGCGAACCTGATATGTAAAGAGAACATAATAAGATTGGACTGAGCGAGACTAAGAACCATTATTTACGAACACACAGATTCAAAGCAATAAAAACATTAAATGACACATAAAACTTTAACGTTTAGAACAGTACAAACACAAAACACAATAACTTATAGAACACTGCAACAACACGTACTTAAATCTAACACGAACAACACTTACTTAACTAAAACTTAATTACTGAATAATACTCTTCTTTTAAACACTAACTCTTAATTCTGGACATCTGTCCAAATATTATAATTTATCTTGCACTTCCTTGCACTTAAATAAAATATTTCTTGCTTCTCTTAAGACCATTACGGCTATACGGCTATAAGACTATACTTCTCTTAAGACTAATACGGTTTCATATAACTGGTGGAACTTTAATAGCTTCCACTGCAAAACAATAACAACATCTTTGCTTCAAACAAAGCTGCAAGCAACCACAAGTTCGTATTGAAAGTTACTTAAAAGATTGCAAATTATATGAATCTGGAAAGCAAGATGAAGGAAGCGAATTCAAAAGAACTGTTGTTCGAGGGAAAAAAACTAGACAAATAAGGGTTTTTGGAGCACTTAGGAACAGTAATAGAAAAATGATGAGACTTAATTGAATGATAAGTAACGCGAGAATGAATTTTAGTAGATGGCACAAGAGAGGCTAGTTCTTTGGAGCAGTGCCCATTATAGTATTTGTAGAAAAGATAAAGAGAAGCAACAATACAACAATGTGATAAAGGTTGAAGGTTGGCTGCAAGAGCATGTCCAACTATGTTTACAATGCGTTTTTGCACCTTTTCTAAAAGAGAAACGGCATTATTAGAAGATCCACCCCAGATATGGCAACAGTGTTCCATATAAGGCCGGATTTGAGATTTGTAGAGATAGAGAATAGAATCCATAGTAAGAAAGTGTCAAGCTCGATAAAGAGATGCAACTTAAGCATATGCTAATTTTGTAACGGATTTAATATATGGTTTCTAAGAAAGATCAGAAGTAAGAGTTATTCCTTGAAGATAACGGGAAGAGGACTCATCAAGTACATTACTGTTAATAAATATAGAAAGACCTAAATTATTGCGATAACGATTGGCTGAAAAAAATTGATATTTTTCTGAATTAAAGTTCACAAGTCACTGTGAGCCCCATGCTGTAGCAAAAGTAAGATCCATTTTAAACTCCAATGCCCCCTTCAAGCAATCAGAAAGTGTTGGTTTCTTATCATGACAAGAATAAATAGTAGTATAATCAGCGAACAATACCACCTTAGAAGTGAGAATATCTGGAAAATTGGTATTATAAATTAAAAAGAGTATAGAGCCAAGGATTGACCCTTGAGGAACCCCTGAGGTTACAAAATAAGATGAAGAGTGCTGTCCATGAAGAACAACTTTTATGCTAGGATTAGAAAGGAAGGATTCTAAAATCTTAAAGATGTCACCAGATACGTTGTAAGAAGAAAGCTTATGGAGAAGACCGTTTGATAAAGTTTGGCATAGCATGCCAAACTTTATCAAACGCTTTAGAAATGTAAAGAGCGATGGTCTTAACCTCTCTACCTTTATCTAATACGCGATAAAACTTATCGGTTATTACTGTTAGCAAATCAGCCGTAGAACGAGAAGATCGACATCCATATTGATGATCAGAAAGTAAGTAATTAGATTCAAGATAAGAGATTAAATTTTTGTTAATTAAAGATTCAAAAATCTTGCTTATGATAGGAAGAAGACTAATGGGACGGTAGTTAAACGAATCAGATCGCTCTCCAGAATTTTTCAGAAATAAGGATTACAGATACTGCTTTCCAGCAGGCTGGAAAACATTATTCTGATAAGCACTTATTGAATAGTTTTTAAAGAATAGACAAAAGCTCCGCAGAACACTTTTGCAAGACTATAACAGGTATGTTGTCCAAGCCACAAGCTGTAAAAGAGTCTAACAGGAAATCACTTTAGATACAGAAGCTGGAGTGATACAAATGTCAAGCAATTGACCAACCTGTTTGACGGCTTTATCAGGTAGAACGCTACTATTGAAACCAAGAGATAATACTGATGAAAAGTTTTTAACAAATAGTTCAGCTTTATCTTTAGGTAAGGTAATAAAGTTTGAACCATGCAAAAGAGGTGGATTTACAGACTTGCTCTTATTATTGATACTATTAAACATTCTCCAGAAGTCATGAGAGCCTAATTTTTTTTATGAAATGCAAGTTTTCATGACATAAGAATAATGGCTTTGGCGTTAGGAAAAAGTTTTTTACAATGGTTACTAGCAGTAATAAACAGCCGTCTGTTTTCTGGAAAATTATTTGCTGATAGATATGGAAGCAATGGTTTTGATTGGCAATTGCAGCAGCACAACGTGAGGAAAACCAAGGAGAAGAGTAAGGCTTGATCTGGAATTGTCGAGAGAGAATAAAGGATTCCATGCCAGCCTAAATCCACAAAGTTATGTAAGAAGCACATTTGTCAACAGGAAGACGAAAGATTTCTACCCAAAGGCCATCACGAAGAAAGTCAGGGCAAGAGTCCCTGTCAGCTTAAGGTAGTTGTAAGATGTACAGTGATAGATTTTGATGATAAAGTAGAATGAGATAAAATTTTTAGAGAGACCAAACCATGATCGGAAGCACTCAAGGGTGAGAAACTGAGCACTGACTAGGATCAAAAAGAAGACTTAAGTCGAGTAGAGAATGTCAATGATTCAGATTGTCTGGAAAGTGAGTTGGAAAGTTGACTATTTGAGTTAGGGATAAAGAAAGGCAAAAACTGTGGGTTTTAATGCCTGCAGAGTGACTGAAACTAGAGCCAAGTCATTCAGTGTAATGATCACTAAAGTCACCGACAACAACAATATTGGCTGATCGATTAAGAGAGAGGGATCGGTAAATATAATTAGAATTAACATTAGAAAGAGTGCAGTCTTGAGATGAAGGAGAGTGATGTAGAACAAAGAGAAAGGTGATAGAGTGAAGTGGTGCTAAACGAAAGCACATAAAAAAGTATTCTGTGGATTCAAACCTAGTTTCCGGATAAATGGGTGAATTCTTACGAATGTAAATGCCCAGGTCAAGCATGTGACTATTGGAGTCTTTATGAATTAAAGAAAGATAAAAAGCAACACTAAGATCACAATATGAGACAGTTGAACTTAAATTAGTCTTACAAAGAGCAAATAGGTCTGGTGAACTTCGCAAGAGGTAAGACTCAACAGAAGAAAAGTTACTTCAAAGACCACGAGTATTAGTAAATGATAGGCTTAGCGAACTTGGTGATGACAGTGGTTTTTTGTGTTTTATAGATTTTGTTACTTTATTCATTTTTAAATTTGTTAAAGAACTTGACTCGAAGCATAGATAGTACTCAATACACTGTTTAACAGCCCAAGCAATTGCTTCATTACTATTAATAAACCTTAAGCCGTAACAAAGGGCTCCAATGTGGCGATGGTAATTCACATCAAAAGTACAAAAAGGGATACCATTCATGCGCAACATGCCACTGTTAGTACTTTTTTTATATTAATATTTTTCAGCTGTTGATGGAATGAGCCTCTCTGAGAGCTACCACAGATTTCGGGAAACCTGCCTACCAGCCTGCCTCAGAACCATAAAACTGAGTTTTAGAGCTGTACCCTCATTAGAAAATTATAAAATGAGCTGTCTAGTCATAAAAACAGAGACAACAAGCAAAACCCATGCATTGAGTCAAGATGATCGAGCATTCAACATCCTAAACTGGAAACAATATATTAAAAATACATC